CTCTGCAGCCTGTTTAGCCAAATCTGACAACTGCAACTGAATTGCTGATTCAAATGGAACAACACAACATAGAGCAATCTATCTATCCAGCAGATTCATTTTACCCAGCTCAAATATTATTGAACATAATACTGGAACCTGCGTAACTCAACAGCCACAGAAACAAAAGGGGTGTTGTTAGCCAGTGCTAAAACTTAGCAGCCCCTCTTTGTAAGTGAGTTTCCCCCATTTGTATGTCAATAACCCTAGAAGCCAGTAGATGAAGCCCATATTCAACTGTCTGAGGGGTGGGGGAAGGAAATGACTCTGTTGTCCTAAAGCTTCTATAGAAGAGAGAGCGAACTCACCCTCTCCTGACAGCTATGCAAATGAGCTTTTCACAGGGAACTGTGCTGAGCTGTCAGTACTGGGAACTACTATCTCTGACCTACTGTGCAGTGCCTATGTGAACACAGGGATTTAGCCTCCCTTTCTAGGAAAATAATGAACCATAAACCAAATATAGTGGAACAGTTCAAAAGGGGCAAAAGCCTGCCTCTGGACTTTGTGAGTCCAAGAACTGTCTGCATTGCAAGTACCTCTCCTGGTAAGGTAAGAAAACAAAATACAGCAGTGAAATTAAAAAAAAATAAACTGAGAAATTAAAACCTTGGTCTTCAGTCTTCATCCTTCTATTCCTCCATGTAAAAGAAATCCTACATTAAATTTTAAAGAATATGAAAGAATACTTTGGAGAAAACTTTTTCCCCCCCTACTGTCAATCTCGGGAAAAATCCCAGGAGCCAAGCAACCTAGGAAGCAACTTAAAATGTTTCAGACTGAATTCATGTTCATCACTTCTCCCAAAATAAATTCAGACCTGAGGTGAGAAAAACCAGCTCAAATGAAATTAAGTAACATGAATGGTACTGTAAGACAGTTATTTGGTGAAGAGAAGACTTACATAAGCAGCTCTACCAATCTTCGGCACACTCCAGAATCAATAACAGCTTGAATTTTATCATTGGGTCCATCGGAAAGGTAAGAGAGGGCCCAGCAAGCATCTGCTAATACATCCGGGTCACTGCTAAACAAGAGTCTTGATAAAACATTTAGGCAAGGTGCAACCTAGGTTAAAGGAAAACATTGCATAACATTAGGTGTGTCATATTTCACATATGTCAGAGAACATTCTGCAGAGGCATGAAGATGCCAAACTATTTACTGCTAAAGCACATGAGCTCATTAACAATTCAGGACCTAGGTGGAACACCTCCCGATTAAGCTACCTATCAGGATTTATCCCATCTGCCAGTCTGAATTGGATAGATTCTGACTCACACCCTATTTCTTTAGAGACACTACATTAGTTACATGATTCTCCATCTTAAACAAAACACATCTGCTGCTACAGGTTAACTAAATGACCAGGAATTACTTTTGCTTTTTTGTATCACTCAAGGAACAGAATTTCAATGTAATAACATTTTTGATATTGCTGTCTTTGTAGGAGTACTGGAGGTTTTTTGTAATAAGAAATTTAGAATCGCTTTGCCAGAAAAACTCAGAAGGATTCACAGAGGACTTAGTGTTCACTGAACCAAATCAAACAAGCAACAGCTGCCTTCAGTTCTCACTGCAGTTGTGGTCTCTGGCCTTAATCTCCTCCAAGTTCCACACAGACAGAGCCGAATGAACCAGACCATCTTAACACCACTTGGAACCTACAGGTTTCAGCTTGGAAATTTCACATTCTTTGTAGAACTTAATTCTTTATCCTACATCATTTATGCAATTCAGCCTCTCTAACATGTCCAGCTGGTGCTGCTCTAAGGGGCGAAACGCCAAAGAGCTATTCTTATTAGCAGCTGCCTACAGGACATCCTTTTCCACTGAGGTTGTAAGTGCTTAAGCAGCAAGAAATCTTGGGTTTTTACTACCAGAATTGAAGGATATGACTTAAGCAGAGCAATTGTGAGATGGTCGATTAACTGACATCAGGTATCCCCCATTTTGTTAGTATCTCTCCAAGAATTAAGTAGCAGTAACAGTGATTCCTACCTCACAAGCTAAGCTTCAAAACATGTAAATTCTCTCCAGACTATCTTCAATGATATTTAACCCCAGTCTCTTCTATAAGAATATCTAATGTTAAGAGTTGGGGTTTTTTTAATCTTTTAATGTCATTAACCTCACCAGAAATAATTTTAATGCAGAAAACAAGGAACTAATACTCCTACTAGCTTCTACAGTCTTACTGTCTTTATAACCACATACTGGAGAGAAGAGGAAGTGAAGGGGAGAGCATACAGGCAAATCACCTCTGTCACCACAGTCTGATTTAACTGCATCTGACAGAGCAGAAAACTCAGCATTTTATTCCTGCAGCATGCACTCACAATCATAAAATAAAAATAAACAAACAAAAAGATTTAAAAGCTTCAATCATAACTCACATCCTCTAACACACATCCGGAAAAATACAGCCCCAAGGGTTTAGTGCTGAATGTACTATTTGTCCATCATTTCATACCAGTGAGTGACTATCTGCATCTGACCAACTACAGTCTCAAGCTTTTAACTAATTTTACTGCTGATGGACAAGACTATGCGATTACGTGAAAATGATAAAATTGAGTCTATCTCCAGATGCAAATATTCTGTATGTGATAACATATTTAAAAAAAAAAAACATGTCAGCTTTCTGATTTCTCAAAATGAATACTTTATTATACCTTACTGAAGTCTGGAGGAGGATTCTTTCCTCTACAGAGATTTGAGAGAGCCCAGACTGCATTTCTAGTTGTTGTAAGACGGTTTGAATTTGTTAACAGTCTGTCAAAGAGACAAAACAATGATAAAAATAACCACTTCTTATTGAAAAGGTAAGTCTTTGCATCTGTTGTTACCAACATTACCTCAAATCAGGAAAAGAAATGCTATTATTGGGCACTAGTTTCAATTTATTTCTCTTCATCGCTTACACGCTGCAAATATTTTCTTAGAATCGATTAAATCTGAACAGATTTCTGCATATACATCTCATTCCCAAATCAAGTATGTGCATATAAAATAATCCATTGCTCATATAGAATATCATTCAACTAATCTTTCCTGAGGGTCTTCAGAGAATGCAATTAATTATATGGAACTATTTTTATTAAGTTAGAACTTAAAAGATCTAATAAAATTAGCACTTTACCATTTTTGTTGAATAGAATGCAAATGATTCAACACCTATAAAATCAGGTTCACTTTCAGATACATACCAAAATGTCTAAAACCATTAACCCTTTAAATCCTCACGGAAGGTAAACGCATTCTCTACTATTTTAAGCTATTTTACTTTAAAGCATTTTATTATTTTAAGCAATAACACTTAAACAAAATGTGTGCTTTCTAAGTGTTTTCCCTGTGATGAAGCTACCTTACATCCTACTGTAAGCAACCAGTAAATGCTGGAATGATACTCCTAGTGAAATCTGGTGGAACACAACTCAGTTAACAACTACTCTGCCAGTTCCTCTCAGCAAGCAAATGGATGGACAACAAGACTGGAGCTTGGAGCTACAGGACAAAGGTGGCAAAACCAGCCTCTTGCCCAACCAGTTGGAATCACACAAATGCAACCGTCAACTCAATCATCTCTTCACCCCATATATCCAGAACTCTGGCAACACAGAGTTCTGCACAACACGGAAGTTTCATACCTGTGGAACAACACTTGTCTCCTTTTGCAAACACTGGAAAGCTTCTAGTCATGGACTAATTAAATATACGCATGAAGCTCAGGTAATCCAAAACATTAGAGTCACAGCAATATAATAAAAAAAGGAAACATTCTCAATTTAGCAAAAAGCTTATATTATTTTCACATAAATTTTAAGTTGAAGTTTACAGTTAACTATATCTGTATACTACAGTTATACTATTAAGTTACAATACTTACTCCAAGAGGGGTGGTAATATTCCACAGCTCAAAACAAAGTCTCTGCATTCTGCATTATCACCAGCAATGTTACCAAGAGCCCACACTGCCTGAAAAAGCAAAATATCAAATTGAATCTATACATGGTTGCAAATCAACTTTTACACATCATCTATATACCACTTTTCCGCAGTAAATCTTATAGAAACACAACAGCAGTATCATTCCAAATACAAAATTTCTGAAGACTACTCATTCCTATATTGCATTTTTTATGAAGTCGCACAAAGTCAATTACCTACACTTGGAAGTCATCCTTTCAAGGAAAGGAAGGTTTCTGTTAACGAAAACAGGTTGATTCATGTGGTTTTCAACAAAACGGACACAAACACTCCTTTCAATAGTTACGTTTGCTCACTCTGCGTAACAGATTCAATAAAACTGGCTAAAAGTTGTAAACAGTGCATGAGAAATAAAAAAAAAAGTTAAATCATGCACTTTCACTATACAAACTTTCAAACAAGCTAAATAAAAACCAGAAAATTACAGCTTCTCTTAAACAAACAAAAACCCTAAACCAAACAAACAAAAAGCCCAAAGTTCAGGAAAATGTTAATGAAGACTGTAACACAGTAAGAGGGAAGAACAGAATTACACAGGAAATAAAGCTGCAAGATAACTTAGGGGAAAAAAATCCACATTGTTTTCTACTACATTCTTTCTACTACAGTATCTTAGAACCTGTCCGCCTGTAAATGGCACCACAGAAATGAGATGCTTTCCTCAAATTACTAAGTAACATGAAATAAAGAGGTTCAAAGAAACCTGAGAGAATCAGAGGGAAAAAACCCACCAAAGATAAAATTTTATCTTCCTGAAGCCAGATCAGTGGGCGAGTAGGCTTACGGGGCTCCAAACTCTAACTACACACACCCCAAAAAGGACATTAACAGATGAATTTTAAGTAGCCATAGAACACCCCAAGAAAACAGTTACCTGCTCCTGTACATCTTCGTGTTCTGAACTAAGCAGCTTAATAAAAATTGGAACAGCTCCAGTTTCAATTACAACTTTGGTGTGTAGGAAAGTTCCAGATGCTATGTTTGTCAGAGCCCAAGCTGCTTCAAACTGTTGAGGAGCACAAAGACCACCAGATTGAATGTTTCAATTCATGAAAACAGTTTATGTAAGAGTTGCAGAGGTTAATTTTCCAACATTTTTTCTTTCCACTCAAATGCAATTACTATTATTGTACTTTCTATACAAGAAAAATAATTGGCATTGGCAAAAACTCTTTAATAAGCAACCTCAGTATCTAAATTATGTTCAGGTTTTGGCTTGCAGCACTAACTGTAAGGAAGACTTCAAAACTTTATTGACCAGTACAAATCCCATCTATATAAAGTTAATTCTTCTAGTATGAATGTGCACAAGGCCTAAGCGTCATTCCATGGGTTACCACAAGCAGACAGAACTAGTTACTCCTACCATTAGCTATGTATTTTTCAAAGATTTCCTAAGGGGTTTCATAAAAGCCTTTCAGTTTCCTGAACTTTTTTCTTCTTTTCTAGGATTTCAACTGAAAAGTACTACAATATACTCAAACAAAAGAGATTCTGCTCACACATCAATGCTGCTGATCTTAACATGCCACTCTGGAAACTCTCCTGAACACACTCTGCTCTCAACACCCACCTCCTATTTGATGAGCTGAATACACGACCCTAAAGACCACTATGAAATTCACAAGAGTCAAGTCACAATTTCAGTGGCAATAACTGACATTTTAGACAACTAAAATCTACAGCTTTGGTGGTTAAGAATAATTAAATTTGGTTATTAAAAAAAAAAAATAATGCTTTCCAAAGATGTTTTGGGGGGGTTTCTTGTCCCATTCAAACTCCCAATCAGTACCAGCAAAACTCACTTGCAGAGTGTAATTCTCATTCCTCTCCAGAAACTTCACAAATCTCTGTACTACTCCTGGTTTTTGTATGACTTCGTCTATAGGTGGATTAGGCTCTAGGGGAGAAAGACAAACATATATTTAAGTCTAACGAAAAAGACCAAATAAATTACCTTTTCAGTATGACAAAACATGAATATGATTCTCAGTTCTTAACATAATTTTTAGCATTCAATCATTTTAATCTCAAATGAAGGAGTAAACTATTGACTTTAGAAGACTGCAGGATAATCTCCTTGAAGTGCTACAATTTAGTAAACACCTTATTATGTATAGTAATAGTAACATGTACTACTATCCACTGGCATGTCAGCAGCTCATTACCAAACACTGTTCCCTCAATCAGTAGGTCAGGTCAGTGGAACAGCAATTATGACGAGCTAGTATTTTAAACGACCAAGCATACCTTTACCTATCATGCTATACAACGTCTTGCAGTCTCAACAAAACCAAGTTACAACTGTTTTTTGGCAGCCATGTAGTTTTTCTCCCCTTAAATACAGAACAAGAATCAGAAATTGAATCCCTGCGACACGTACCGTAAGTAATGCTAGTGGGCAGTTAGTTACTGCCCTGGACACTCCAGTAAAAATACCCTTGCTTTTGTTACTTTGTCGGAAAGACTTAACATTAGAATAACGAAGCTTTCTGTATTTAGCCATTAGGTCGGAAGAGATTTGTCATGGTTTCTCTATAAACAGAACTAGAAGTTCCAGCAAGCTCTATTTTAAAGTAAAACAAAACTAGAGGTTAACTGACTCTCTATGACAAAACTCGTACTAACAACAAGGAGGAACAAAACAAAACAACTCAGGCAACATTTACGTACCTTTAGACAGCAATTTTCTGAACTTCTGCGTTGCTGTGAGTTGCTGATCAGGATCATCTGAGAAAATCATCTGCACCATATCTACTGTAATAACTTCTTCCTAAAAATGAAAGGAGGATTTCTCGTGTCTAGGACTATGCAAATTAACAGATAACATTCTAAACACACTCTGATGCAATTACCTCAGGAATAGGTACAGTAGAGCTGACATCAGGATCCTGAATTGGACTTTCTACCATAGATTCTTCATTTCCTGGGAGAGACACGTTCCGCCGTTTAAACAGCTAAACAAAGGAGAAATTTTCGGGAGAGATTAGAACTGACCACAGAGTGGATACTGATGACATACACCTGAAGAAATGCTTTTGCCAGTACTAGTCAAAGTGTTAAACTACTCACCTTCCAACTCATCCATGCAAATGGAATTCTACATGAAAGTTTGAAGAACATAAAGGAGAAAAGCACTGCTAGATCTGTATCTTGGCAAACTGCACTACGCTTCAGATTTAAAAACCGAAGTACCTTTTAATTAGCAAAGAACCATAATTTTGTTCACATGTAAGAAAAAGACAATGCAGATCTTTTTACTTTTATTCTTTTATGCAGGAAATGGTATTATACAAGCTACTTTCTCTTTTTTAGTTCACAGAGCCAATGTTTGTGTTTCAGCACACCCCATTCCTCTCTTCCACAGAAAGTCTAAGATCTATGTACTTCCTTCGCATGCCAATTAAACAGCGACTATATTTAATATACAGCTGCAGAAAGATTAAAACAGAAACATAATTTTAGTGTAGTTGGAGGAAAAAAATGGTGTAGCTTCCAAGTGAACTTTCAAATTATGTAACAATAAACATTCTCTATGTCCAAAAGTCACGGGAACATTGGCCACATGCACTGCCTACGCTCAAAATACATACCTGGCACTGTAGTGCTTAATGAGTGCCTCTATTCTCTGGCATACAAACAAAACATATGCATTAGCCGGTTTTCTCTAGAAACAAATCTAAACTTTTATCTTTAACCCTGTACTATACCTACAATTACATTAATTAACAATTCTAAGAATATTATGTTGGTATCTTTAAAAAATAAACATCTCAGTCTACTGACTAAGATTTGACCTGTAAGCCTAATAATGAAACCTCCTACAAAATCCTGAAGGTTTTGTCCTCTAGGATCCTACAGACACCTAGACTTCTGCTACTGTACATGCTCAAAACTGCAGAAGCAAACCCATGTTTACATCTACCCAGATTTCAAACAGGAACCTCAACCAAAGCATTCGCTCCCTTGTTCAACACACTTCCGTACTGGGCACAATCCTGGACACAAAACAGCTGCAGAATCCTGGACATAAATAAAGTTTAACTCCATTTAAACCCACAAATTAAGCAGAAACACCACGCCTCTTTTGGAAGACCTGCCATTTTTTCTAGCACTCAACAAGGAACCAGAAGCTCTTGGTTGGAACATATAAACTACTTTTGTTTAGGATCATGGGCTACCTACCGCTCATGATTTCTTTTGGAGGAAAAGCAGTCTCATCTCCCTGCATAAACTTGTTCTACCCAGCTCAAGAGCAGCCAAAAAACACCAGTCCAACAAATTAACATCAAAGAGAACACAACAGTATTCTCATTATTACGACAGTCAGCATGGGAGAGACAACACCTATTATTTTCATAATTTATTTAGGGAGTATTTACTGGAAAAGACACAAACAAAACTTTCAGCAGAAACTGCAATGCAGTTACCCCTTCTCAGGTAAATGCTCCAGTACCATACTACTCCTTACTCTTACATCTCTGGCCCAACTAATTTAAATTCTTTTTCCATGCAGCAGCACCACTTTCCCAGGAGAAGGGTAAGCATTTCCACCTCAGAGAAGACTATAGATCAGTGCCTGGGACACTCTCTAGACTTTAGGAGACAAATTCAGCCACTTACACCAAGCAGAAAAAACAAACTACGTTCCTTATTTTCCTGGCAAGGAACTACTACACGTTTTAGGAAAGGGAACTACCACAAACCATTAAATTACACAATGCTCCATGTACTCTGATGACTAAAAATTCGATTACGACAACTGCAAGCGTTATATATGACAGTTCAGGGATTATGAACTTTACTTGGTTACTGTAGAAAAGCTCTTGGGCAATTTCAAGTATGGCTTCAAAGATGAGAATAATGCTCTCCCTTCCAACAGCACAATTTCAGTCCAAACTCCAGAATAGAATGCAAGGTTTCTAAACCTTATTGAAAATAAGAGTATCCTTTCATCCCAGTTTTACATGTTTAAACCTAGACTAAGGATTAAGTTTAAGACAGGGGTCTCTCCTCTGTGTGCCCCACTGATTTAAGAGGGCTGCTGTTCATTTCTTTTGGTTTACGATCTTGACAGGAAGGACCTGGTGCTCCCAAAATTGCACAGAAAACAGACACTCAACCTGGCACTCTGGATTCCGCTCAAGTCCCTTCACGTGTCTGAATTCAGATTCACAAGCACTTGACAGTTAACAGCTCACCACAGTACTTACCTGTTCTTCCCTTTTCTGTTTCCGAAGCTGGATTCCTTCCTCCTCTCTTCGTCTGCGCATTTCTTGGGGATTAAGTGCATTATTCTTGTAGCTTTTCATTCTGAAGTTATCTTTACCTGGGCTTGCCATGTTGTCTATTAAAAAAAAGAAAAATTACTCCAAAAGGCCAAACAGGTTCTCTCTCGTACTACAAAAGGATCTGCAGCTATACATTTCTATAGCTGCTTGCAACACCCAGCTCATCAACAAAAATCTCTAAGGCAGAAACCAGAGAAAAGTATTTGCCTAGACAGGCATTTCTAAACTGCAGATCACCTCAGGGATCAGATGCCTCATTAAAGGGCATAAACTACTGCAAAAAGAAGTTATGGGTCTTGGGAGCAAACTGAGAAACAAAAAGCAAAACCAATACATCACTAACCTTTGATTCTGCCAGCAAATAAAGGAATTTGATTCCTCCTCTCACAAAGGAAACATTAAATTATTAACAAAATAAGGACAAATCCAAGAAAACCTGCAGTAATTACTGCTTTGTTTATTACTTTACTGCGCTGTTTATGGGGTTTTTTAAGATGCCTGTCTCACAAACATAACACAGGATCTAAAGGTTATGCTGCATTTCCTTCTAAACTGTATGCATTAAAAACTCTGTAGGAAACCAAATTAAGGGTCAGTAGCACCCCAATGGGCACACTCTTTTCCATTTTAAACTAGCAAAACGATTCACCCATTCTAATTAACAGCTCTGTTGACAGATTAGAGGATTAGAATCTGTCTGTCATTTCAGGCTAATCAGTTGTGAAAAGATGAAAGTGATAAGGCATGATTCTGTTATTGAAATGATCAAACTGACTGACTGAGAACAGTTGTTAATAGCATGGTGCTAGCTTTTAAAGCCAAAACTGTAGCCTTTAATTGAGAAATAACTGCCAAAAATACGATTTAAGACCCTACGCACACACTTTCACTTCTCTGAAATTATGCCACAAGAAGAAAACATACGTAGCATCTGAACTACAGCTCCTGAGCTGTGTGCACAATTCTCTACCAACTTCCATGCCGGGACTATTTTTTTTTTTTCCAGTATCAGCAGTACTAAGGACCTCTGAGCAACAAACAAGCTATGCGAGGAAAACAGTCTGCAGACTTAGGCTGACATCAACAGGACACTCCCAGGACTCATCAGTCTCTTTCCCCCAAAACACATCGGCTTCACCGGAGCCTTAGTGAACTACTGCCATCTCTGGCCCAAGATGCTAAGCGCGCCACCCTCTAAAGCAGCTTTCTGGTAACAGTAGTCGTGTAACTTTTGAGATACAACTGAAGATCATTTTTCCAGCAACATTACTCATAGAACATCACCCCTTCATTGATCACTCGTGCCTTGCTAATTCAGTCGCACCAATAAAACTGCCCGGCCAAGCCATAAAGCAAGCCAGGGACACGTTCATTCCAAGTCACCCAGCTTAGGTCACCGGCCCAGTAAAGAGTTACAGAGGCACAACTGGGAGGAACCTCTCCGCAAAACTGTTTTCAAAAGGAAAAGCTGATGAATTTATAGCTCCATTCCCCCCACAAGGCTTTCGATATAAGCTTCATACGGCAAAACGACTAGCAAGCCGTTTCAGGCTTCACGACTTCTCCATCTAGATCCAAGGAAGTCTGCAATTCCGCCCTGCGAGGCTACACTCGCGCTAACGCTGAACCCCTCTACCCACCGCCTCGCCCACTTGTGCCCACGAGCCCCAGGCTCGCCCACCTGTTGTACCTACAAGCCCTACCCCAGCAACGGTGGTTTTCCTTCCCTGCCGGCACCAGGCTCCCCAAACACCGCGTCTTGGGCGCCACCGCCCCCTCCCCGACTGACAGCGCCGGGGGGGGCCGCAC